TGCCCAATCTTACTTCACAAGCCAATGACAACTGCCAACTGCCCAATCTCACTTCACAAGCCAAATGCACTCTCCCAAAACACAAGCCAAATTTTCGAGTGTTACTTCACTATCCTAAAGCGCAAGCTAACTTCGGAAAGCGCAAGTTTTTTTTTCACGCGTTACTTCACTATGCAATGCATTGCAAGCCGACTTTTCATTTTCTACCTTCTCTTCTCGATTCTGAGTTCTTTCTTCTTTTTCCGGCGGAGCTGGGGAGACGCTCTCCGCGCAATACTTTTGTACTTCAAACTTACGATTTTCACGACAGCTTCGCACGGAACCACGGCGAGGGCAATCCGACACGCGCGATCCCCGCTGAGGGTGCGCCAAGGTCAAGACAGATTCGCACGGGACCACAGCGAGAGCGATCCGACACGCAGGAGCCCCGCAGAGGGCTCGCCGCGACCAAGACAAATTCGCACGGCGCCACAGCGAGAGCGCTTCGACGCGCAGGATCTCCGCAGAGGGTTCGCCAAGGTCTAGACAAATTCGCACGGCGCCACAGCGAGAGCGCTTCGACACGCAGGATCTCCGCAGAGGGTTCGCCGCGACCAAGACAGATTCGCGCGGCGCCACAGCGAGAGCGCTTCGACACGCACGATCTCCGCAGAGGGTTCGCCAAGGTCAAGACAAATTCGCACGGCGCCACAGCGAGAGCGCTTCGACACGCAGGATCTCGCAGAGGGTTCGCCAAGGTCAAGACAAATTCGCACGGCGCCACAGCGAGAGCGCTTCGACACGCACGATCTCCGCAGAGGGTTTGCCAAGGTCAAGACAAATTCGCACGGCGCCACAGCGAGAGCGCTTCGACACGCACGATCTCCGCAGAGGGTTCGCCAAGGTCAAGACAAATTCGCACGGCTCCACAGCGAGAGCGCTTCGACACGCAGGATCTCCGCAGAGGGTTCGCCAAGGTCAAGACAAATTCGCACGGCGCCACAGCGAGAGCGCTTCAACACGCAGGATCTCCGCAGAGGGTTCGCCAAGGTCAAGACAAATTCGCACGGCGCCACAGCGAGAGCGCTTCGACACGCACGATCACCGCAGAGGGTTCGCCAAGGTCAAGACAAATTCGCACGGCGCCACAGCGAGAGCGCTTCGACACGCACGATCTCCGCAGAGGGGTGCGTTTCGTAAGCTCCCGTCGGGCCTACCCCCGCCATAAAAAGAAGAAGAATTAAGAGTCGAGAAGTGAAGGTAGAACAGAAAAGTTAGCTTGTGTTTTTTAGGATAGTGAAGTAACACCCGACAAATTAGCTTGTGCTTTTAGTAGAATGAGATAACAGCCGAAAAGTTGACATGAGAAGTAGGCAGGTGAAGTAACTCTCGACAAGTTGGCATGAGAAGTAGGCAGGTGAAGTAACTCTCGACAAGTTGGCATGAGAAGTTGGCAGGTGAAGTAACTCTCGACAAGTTGGCATGAGAAGTTGACAGGTGAAGTAACTCTCGACAAGTTGGCATGAGAAGTTGGCAGGTGAAGTTGGCAGCCGCTTTTAGAAGAAGAACCCTTCGCAATGCTTCCGGGAATGAAATGGAGGGGTATTTATTTTAGGAATTTTTTTCGTTTTTTTTTTGGAATTTTTTTCGCTTTTGGCTTCTTGGCTTCTTGGCTTCTTGGCTTCTTGGCTTCTCGGCTTCCTGGCTTCTTGGCTTCTTGGCTTCTTGGCTTTTCGGCTTCTTGGCTTCTTGGCTTCTCGGCTTCTCGGCTTCTGGGCTTCTTGGCTTCTTGGCTTCTCGGCTTCATGGCTTCTTGGCTTCTTGGCTTCTTGGCTTTTCGGCTTCTTGGCTTCTTGGCTTCTCGGCTTCTCGGCTTCTGGGCTTCTTGGCTTCTTGGCTTCTTGGTTCCTTGGCTTCTTGGCTTCCTGGGCTTTCTCGGCTTTCCTGGCTTCTTGGCCCTTTTTGGTTCTTGGCTTTTCGGCTTTTGGCTTCTTGGTTCTTGGCTTTCGGATTCTGGGCTTCTTGGCTTCTTGGCTTCTCGGCTTACTGGCTTCTTGGCTTTCTTGGCTTTATTGGCTTTCTGGCCTTCTTGGCTTCTTGGCTTCTCCTTTGCTTCGTCCAGATTCATTCTCTGGCTTCTTGGCTTCTTGGCTTCTTGGCTTCTTGGCTTCCTGGCTTCTTGGCTTCTTGGCTTTTCGGCTTCTTGGCTTCTCGGCTTCTGGGCTTCTAGGCTTTTCGGCTTTTTGCTGGTTTATGCGGCTTTTGGTGGCTTTTTGGCTTTTCGCATCCTTTGCATTCCCAGTTCCTCTTCGGCAGGTTGCGTTTTTCCGACATCATGGGGGGGGCTGCCGCCCCCCCAACCCCCCCGCTACGTTTTAGATTTTCTGCAGAGATTTAATTAGTTGCACCCCTAGTTGAATCATCAATTCTTCGAACATCATGGGGGGGTTGCACCCCTAGTTGAATCATCAATTCTTCAACCATCATGGGGGGGGGCTGCCGCCCCCCCCAACCCCCCCGCTACTTTTTAGACTTTTTGCAGAGATTTAATTGCACCCCTATTCAAATCATCACTTCTGCAAACAACATCGTGGGGGGGGCTGCCGCCCCCGCCAACCCCCCCGCTACTTTTATATTTGTTTACAGGGATTGACATGCCCTCCTACTTGAATCATCATTTCTTTGACCCCGTCACACGATTTGTGGGTGATGCTAGGGATGTTGGTGGGACATGCGGGGTATATTTCGCGAGAACATGCTGTAAAATACGACACTTTACTGTCCCGGCAGAGATTGAATTGCACCCCTGTTTGAATCATCACTTTTTCGAGCATCCAATTTCGCGAGAAAATGCTGCAAAATACGACATTTTAGGTAATCTGTGTAGTCCGTGTATGTCTGTATGTATGCATTTCTTCGAACACCATAGGGGAAGCCACCCCCGCCAACCCTCCCGCTGCCTGTTAAATTCTATCACACCCTTTCTTGAATCATTGCACCCCTACTTGAATCACCACTTCTTCCGACATCATGGGGGGGCTGCCGCCCCCCCCCAACCCCCCCCGCTACGTTTTAGATTTTCTACAGAGATTTAATTAATTGCACCCCTAGTTGAATCATCATCTCTTCGAACATCATGGGGGGGGCTGCCGCCCCCCCCAACCCCCCCGCTACTTTTTAGACTTTTTGCAGAGATTTAATTGCACCCCTATTCAAATCATCACTTCTGCAAACAACATCGTGGGGGGGGCTGCCGCCCCCGCCAACCCCCCCGCTACTTTTATATTTGTTTACAGGGATTGACATGCCCTCCTACTTGAATCATCATTTCTTTGACCCCGTCACACGATTTGTGGGTGATGCTAGGGATGTTGGTGGGACATGCGGGGTATATTTCGCGAGAACATGCTGTAAAATACGACACTTTACTGGCCCGGCAGAGATTGAATTGCACCCCTGTTTGAATCATCACTTTTTCGAGCATCCAATTTCGCGAGAAAATGCTGCAAAATACGACATTTTAGGTAATCTGTGTAGTCCATGTATATTCAAATCATCACTTATTCAAATCATCACTTCTGCAAACAACATCGTGGGGGGGGCTGCCGCCCCCCCCAACCCCCCCGCTACTTGTATATTTTTTTACAGGCATTGACATGCCCTCCTACTTGAATCATCATTTCTTTGACCCCGTCACACGATTTGTGGGTGATGCTAGGGATGTTGGTGGGACATGCGGGGTATATTTCGCGAGAACATGCTGTAAAATACGACACTTTACTGGCCCGGCAGAGATTGAATTGCAATCCTGTTTGAATCATCACTTTTTCGAGCATCCAATTTCGCGAGAAAATGCTGCAAAATACGACATTTTAGGTAATCTGTGTAGTCCGTGTATGTCTGTATGTATGCATTTCTTCGAACATCATAGGGGAAGCCACCCCCGCCAACCCTCCCGCTGCCTTGTAAATTCTATCACACCCTTTCTTGAATCATTGCACCCCTACTTGAATCACCACTTCTTCCGACCTCATGGGGGGGCTGCCGCCCCCCCCCAACCCCCCCCGCTACGTTTAGATTTTCGACAGAGATTTAATTAATTGCACCCCTAGTTGAATCATCAATTCTTCGAACATCATGGGGGGGGGCTGCCGCCCCCCCCAACCCCCCCGCTACTTTTTAGACTTTTTGCAGAGATTTATTGCACCCCTATTCAAATCATCACTTCTGCAAACAACATCGTGGGGGGGCTGCCGCCCCCGCCAACCCCCCCGCTACTTTTATATTTTTTTACAGGGATTGACATGCCCTCCTGCTTGAATCATCATTTCTTTGACCCCGTCACACGATTTGTGGGTGATGCTAGGGATGTTGGTGGGACATGCGGGGTATATTTCGCGAGAACATGCTGTAAAATACGACACTTTACTGGCCCGGCAGAGATTGAATTGCACCCCTGTTTGAATCATCACTTTTTCGAGCATCCAATTTCGCGAGAAAATGCTGCAAAATACGACATTTTAGGTAATCTGTGTAGTCCGTGTATGTCTCTACGTATGCATTTCTTCGAACATCATAGGGGAAGCCACCCCCGCCAACCCTCCCGCTGCCTTTTAAATGCTATCACACCCTTTCTTGCAGAGATTTAATTGCACCCCTGTTCGAATCATCACTACCCCGCTCTGTTTTTCTTAATTGTTTTTTTGTATTTTTTTTGCTGGGATTGAAATGCCCTCCTGTTTGAAGCATCATTGTTTTGACCCCGTCAACCCGCCAGCTGCATTTTTGGATTTTGTTACCCACGATTTGTTGGTGATGCTAGGGATGTTGGTCGGACATGCGGGGGATGTTGAAAACGATGCTGGGGATGTTGACGAGCTAGTGTAAAATGCGTCAATTTCGCGAGAAAATGCTGTAAAATACGACATTTTGCTGGCCCGGACGAAAAACGAAAAAAAATCCCAAAACAAAACGAAAAAAAATCCCAAAATAAATCCGCACCCAAATAATAAAATGGGCCCATGGCGCAGGTCGTCCGAGTGAACAACAAGTCTGTGGGTGAGAGTTTTTTTTGAGGCTGCCCGTTCTTGAGTGGTTTTTTGGAAAATGTAGGAATGTGTTGTTCCGAATTCAAGGTTCTGCGACTGTTTAAGGGTGCTCAAAGGCGGAAAGTCTTTCCCGACAGAACATCTAGGCAAATCAAATGAACAAATGCCATACCAAAAAGACTTTGCCTGTCTCTTTGCAACTCAAAGGCCAAATCCTTCGCCCCAAGAAATTGAATTTTGCAAGTGGCCCCCAAGCCATCAAATTCAATAACTTGTTTTATGTGTTCTTGTTTTAGCATGCCTAGACAGTCGCACAAATAGGTTGCCCGCGAGTCCCACAGATCCTGTTGAGACAAGAAGAACAAGACGAACAAGAAGAACAAGATCAACAACATCAACATCAACAACATCAACATCAACATCAACAACGACAACCACAACCACAACAACAACAACAACAACAACAACAACAACAACAACAACAACAACAACAACAACAACAACAACAACAACAGACAACAGACAACAAACAACAAACAACAAACAACAAACAACAACAACAAACAACAAACAACAAACAACAAACCACAACCAACAAACAACAAACAACAAACAACAAACAACAAACAACAAACAACAAACAATCAGCAAACAACAAACAACAAACAACAAACAACAAACAACAAACAACAAACCACAACCAACAAACAACAAACAACAAACAACAAACAACAAACAACAAACAACAAACAATCAGCAAACAACAAACAGCAAACAACAAACAACAAACAACAAACAGCAAACAACAAACAATCAGCAAACAACAACAAACAACCAACAACCAACAACACACAACAAACAACAAACAACACACAACAAACAACCAGCAACAAACAACCAACAACAAACAACCAACAACCAACAACCAACAACAAACAACAAACAACAACCAACAAACAACAAACAACAAACAACAACCAACAACCAACAACCAACAACCAACAACCAACAACCAACAACCAACAACCAACAAGCAACAACCAACAACCAACAACCAACAACCACAACAACAACAACAACAACAACAACAACAACAACAACAACAACAACAACAACAACAACAACAACAACAACAACAACAACAACAACAACAACAACAACAACAACAACAACAACAACAACAACAACAACAACAACAACAACAACAACAACAACAACAACACCAACACCAACAACAACAACAACAACAACAACAACAACAACAACAACAACAACAACAACAACAACAACAACAACAACAACAACAACAACAACAACAACAACAACAACAACAACAACAACAACAACAACAACAACAACAACAACAACAACAACAACAACAACAACAACAACAACAACAACAACAACAACAACCAACAACAACAACAACAACAACCACAACCAACAACCACAACCACAACCACAACCACAACCACAACCACAACCCCAACCCCAACCCCAACCCCAACCACAACCACAACCACAACCACAACCACAACCACAACCACAACCACAACCGCAACCACAACCATAACCACAACCACCACGACCACGACCACGACCACGACCACGACCACGACCACGACCACGACCACGACCACGACCACGACCACGACCACGACCACGACCACGACAACGACAACGACAACAACAACAGCAACAACAACAACAACAACAACAACAACAACAACAACAACAACAACAACAACAACAACAACAACAACAACAACAACAACCACATATTTCTCCAGTGCAAGAAAGGGCGCCTCAAAACTCTCTCCCTGAGTTCATGGACGTACCCTTTGGACAGACCAACTTTTCAATGGTAAACAAGAAGTGCGGGGACTTTTTCTTGACCACTCCCAACAAGTGAGTGCATTACTTTGTGGCTTTCATCTTACATTTGCTTCAAAGTCTCTGTTATTTTCCTCTGTTTGTTTTTAAGGGAACCTCAGCTTCCCTCCAATTGGTGGTGTGGATTGGTGGTTTGGTGGTTAGGGAGGTTTCTCATTTACCCTGACAAGAGTCAGAGGTTCAGTCCCAAACCACCAATCCAAACCGGACTTGAACTTTTTGGTAACTAATGGGTTTTCCATCAAACCACTAAATCTCATTCACTTTTAGCCAGGGAGCAGAAAGCGACAATCCATACCACCATTCCAAACCACAATTCCAAACCACCAATCCAAACCACCAATCCAAACCACCAATCCAAACCACCAATCCAAGCCACCAGTTAAGGGACTCCTGAGAATCTATCGCTGCCCAGCCCCATCGCGAGGCCCAGGCGACGGCGCACCCGGCGCACCGTCCCGCTCGGCCTCGCCGCGGCACTTCACGGCGGAGCGCTGGGCGCCCTCGGCCCGGGAGAAGCTCCGAGTGGAAGGTGGGATCTTTAGACTTTAGCTTTTTGGTTGAAATCAAGGGGTTGGTTGGGTTAGATGAAGAGACTTTAGCGTTTTCCTTGGGTTGGTTGGGTTGTAGCCTTTTGCTCCAAGCCAAATTTGTCTTCAAACTTCCCCAGAATTAGTTCCCCCTTTTTTTGTGGGGGGGGGTTCTCATTGTTTTCTGCTACCCAGGCAAAAACATATTTTTTGCTGGGGTCCCCCAAAAGGAATAGCGGTTTCTCTCCCCAAAAAGATGGCGGGTGTCACCTAAAACATGGTAGTTCACCAAAAAGAAAAGAAGAAGTCCCCCCCCCCCGAAAAAAGAAACATGATCCCAACAAATTGCGGTTTCCTCCACACAACATGTCCCAAAAATGGTGGTTTTCCCTCAGCAAAAAAGTTGTTCACCCACAAATGGCGATTTCACCCTAATGGTGGTCCCTTTTGTTTCAATTGTGCCTTTTGGCTAAGCTTGAAAAGAGATAAAAACGCCCATGCTCAGTGCTTGCAACAGAGCAATTTTGACCTGAGGTTTGAACCTTGATGTCAGGGCTCCACTTTTTGATTACCTCAAGGTTTAAACCCAGGGGTGGTTCATTTCCCCCAAAAGGAGGAGTAAAAGTGGTTTCAAGTCAAGTTTGGGGTAATCAAAAAGTGGAACCCCTGTTCAAAGTACTTTGCGGCCACGGTTGCATGTGGTTAATGGTAGGCGGACAACATCATTAACTACTTGGTCGAGAAAGGTATATCTTCATAAAAGTAAAGCTGTATTGCGGTCATTGACAAGGGACATATTGGGATCGGGAGTGTAGGTCATTTACATAAGGAAGCGGAAGTACGCGTCCCTCTTCAAGCGGACCGACTGGGACCAGGACGGGCGGAGCTCGGACTTTCGGAGATTCCCTTTAAGATAAAGTGGGTCTGGCTTTGCTTTAGAAGACCCCTGCACAAGAAAAACATTTGGTGTTCCTTTTGGTGTTCCTTTGTAACCACAACAGGGGGGGTACCCTCAAAGAACAACAGATCCAAAACAAGGGGGGTACCCTCAAAGAAAAACCGACCCAACTATCAAAAAAAGGTGGTTGGTGTTCCTTCGGTTTCCCCCGAAACCAACCCACAAAAGGGGGGACCCTGCCCAAAAACAAACATCTGAAGAAACAAAGTGCTTGCTTTCCTTTGGGCTTCCATTGAACACCTACTCATAAAAAGGGCACCTTCGAAAGCTGACATCCGCCACATTAATTGCTAGGTGTTTTGAGGGTACCCTCCTGTCATTGAACTCACCAGCTCTGGTCCCTTTGAAAGGAAATAGTCCAAACCAACCCCCGAAACATCAGTTTTCATATGTTGGACGGGTGCATGGAACCTACCTACTCTGGTGTCATTTTCTTCAGATCTTTTGTTTCCTTCTTGGTTTTTGCAGGGAAGGTGTCACTACTGGAAAGATGTGTATTTGTTTCTCCAGGAAACTTAGGCAACTGGGAAGGGAAGGTACAAACAAAGAGACCCGCCCCACTGGCTGTGTGTTTTTGAGGTACCCTTTGGAGTCCCCAGCTCTGGTCCCCCTAGGTTGAAGCCCAACAGCAACCCGAGGAAACCCGAAACAAAGCCCAAGGCAATGTGGGAAACTCCAGGGATAGCCCAGACCCCAGAAAAACCCCCAGAGAAGCCCAAAGGAAACCTCAATGAAGCCCCACAGAACCCCGCAAAGAAACCTTCAGAAACCCCAAAGACACCTCAGAGAAACCCACAGAACCCCAAGGAAACCCCTGAGAAGCCTCAGAGAACCCCCTGCAAAACCCAAAGGAAACCTCAATAACCCCCCCCCCTTCCCCCACAAAACCGCAGGTTTTCCCCTGGGAAACCCTCAAAACTCCCCCAAAACACCCCCCAAAAAAGGCGCGTCGGTCCCACGCGTCAGTCCCACGCAGGACGGCTTCGTGCAGGGCGCCGAGGCCCAGACGCTGCTGGAGAGGTCCCGGCTGCCGCCTCAGGCCTTGGCGAAGTGCTGGGAGCTGGCGGACCAGGCGGCGCCGGGACCCGGAACCGCCCCAAAGAACTCGGAAGAAGCTCCGCGGGGCTTCTTTCCACTACCTGTCCTAAAACCAAAGCTGAACTGTGGCTTTTTGTTGGGTGACAGTTTTGGTGGTGTTTTTGGGTCTTTTGGTTCGGTTCATTCGTGGCGGGGGCAAAAACAAGTCTTTTGCTGCCATATCAAGTGCTGGGCGCTAGCGGACCTTACCAAAACTGAACTGTTGCCATAGTTGTTTGTTGGTTTGTGCATGTTCAGTGGCCGCAGAACACTAGTTTTTCCTAGCATGCCAAGGGCTGGAAAGTCTAAGATACGTCAAAAAGAAGGACCCCGAAAAAAGGGAGGGAGAGAGAGAGAGAGAGAGAGAGAGCGAGAGAGAGACCCGAATCACATGGAAATCACCATTGACAACTATCTTGAAATGTATTCTGATACTGTGTGTCGCTTGAGTGACAATAACACGCATTAGTTATTATCACTAAATAGGACAATATAACATACGCTGATCCAGAAAGGGGGGGGTTCTCCTCGTTTTTCTAGGGTCTCTCCAAACATGTGTGTTATTTTTAGGCACTCTGTTTTTGGTGCCAGATTCATTGCACAAATTGCGGGAGCGCAGATGTTTAGAACATGCGTTTTCCTTTGTTGGGTTCTCACTTCAAACAATAGTGGAAGTAGACACGGCGCTTCCAGCAAAGTCCAATACCCTCCTGTCAGCTTCCATAGTAGGACAGATGGTACTTTGTTGTTCTCCTTTACCCTTAAGCATACTTGTATAGTCCGTATGTACGGTTTTGTTCTTATCGGGTTTTGAACAGGGGTGTGTTGCCAGATTTTTCACCTTAGCCCTGATCCAAATCCACGGTTAAGGCCCCTTTCCTTGGTGGTTCCCATTCGGTTCTTTAGGTTTTAGCTTTTTGGTTGGGTTCGTGGTTGGGTTTCCAGTTAACCCACGATTTCCAGTTAACCCGCGAAAAGTTATACTTTTTGCAGAGGATGAACACGGACCGCCCAGGTTCTGATGTCCATTTCCCCTTGTGCCGTGGTCTTGGCGAACATTTCACACACCGAATTGCCATTTGAGCATGAACCCTCACCATCTTCCCATGTGGCAAGGTTCCTTGAGGGCTGGGGTTACCAGACATCCAAAGGGAGCACCGAATCGAAGCCTTGCCCCTGAAGATCACAGCCGGTGTGGCGGGGAAACATCTTCTTCCATGGGGAGCCTCATTGCTTAACCCGGGACACATTGCTTGACTGCTATTGGGTTGGATCTTTAGACTTTAACTTTTTGGGAAATAAAGGTGTTTTCCACTAAACTCCCAAAAAGTTAACTTTTTGCAGGGGGGTCAACAGCAACCCAGATTGATGATTGGAATCCTGCTTTTGTCTTTTGCTACAGGGGAACACCAGACATTAGATGCTCTGATGTATCTCTGTTTTTTCCTTGGTGTTCATTGAGGTCAAGCCAATTTCCTTGGGGCCTTCCCGTTTGCTGACTCAGCTCCCGTTTCGCTGTTCGATGCGCTGGCACTCTTTTCGCAGGACCGGGACGGCCGATTGACCTTCTCCGAGCCGGAGCCCAAGTTCAGCGCTTCGCTGTTGTCTTGAGCCCTTCGGGAGAAGAATTGCAAACCTGGCCTTCCTGCATGTCAAAGTTTCCGCCTTTTCGCCCTAGAAGCACTTTGTTTTTCGCGCCACCGGCAACAAAAAAGGTGTTTTTCTTTGGCCAACGCCTAAAACTTTTTGCCCCCCGGAAGGTCCAGGAATGGGTTGCGCTATGTCTGACCCTGCCTTCTTGTCATGTGTGTTTTTCCTTGCGTTTGGGTTCTGTTCATTGATTACTTGGGGACGAGAACAACGTGTTGGTGAGATGTCCTTGAATGGAAACCCAGTCCCTTTACTCACTTGCCGAGATTCTAAGGTGCTTGGCTTAGTGGCAATTAGCAAGTTCTAACTTGTTTGCCAGGTCACTCAAGAAGTGACAACATGTCCAATGTTTCTCCAAATCCATAGATGAAGTCAAGACAGACGAGATTATGTTTGACCGAAGGCCCTTGGTGGAAACTTTCAGCGACGTGTTGGAGCTCTCAGATGTGTCCATTCAGGCAAGGAATCAACAAACAGTTTCCCTGACTTGGTAGGGTGGTTTCTCATTTTCCGTTAACAAGCACAAAGGGTTCAATGCCCCTTGCAATCCCCTACACCACAAACAGCCAAGAAAGGATAAGATCAGCCACAACCAGATGACACACCACAATGGCATGATCCATAAGAAATCTTTCTGAGGTGGCTTGGTCTAACTTGCAACTATGTCTGTTTAAAGCAGCAAAGGGAGCATATTTGAGGGACGTCTACTTACTTGTTGGAACTCCCAGATCCTTTATGTTTAACAAGACAAGAAGAAAACCATCTCCTTTCTTCATCCAACTCAACTAGTGCAAGCAAATTGAGACTCACTTGCATCTTTCCCACCTGCATTCCCGAGGTTCCTGTGCCTCGTCCACCTGGTCACCTGCCTGTTGCGCGGGGCGCCGGTGGCGGAGCTGGAGCGACCTGGGGGCCTCCCGGCGCCGCTGCAGGCGGCGCTCGCGCGGCTGGAGCCCTTGGAGCAGCTGGCGCGGGAGCGCGAGGAGAGCCGCTCCCGCAGCGCTTCCCCGGCGCCCACGGCCATCGGCGCCGCGGCGAAAACGCGGGGGTTGGGGGCAACGTTTTGGGGGGGTTTTGAGGGGTCAAGGTCTTGGCAACCAAAAATAGGCTCAGGTGACATCCCCAACATGCGGCGCTCTTTTCGATCGCAGAACCTTGCGAAACCTTGCCTCGGAACCCCCGCAAAACCCTGCAGAATCCTTTCTGCGGAGCCTTACCTCAGAGCCGCCCCGGACTACCCCGACACCTCCCAAACCTCCAAAGCCTGCTACTCCAGAACCTGGCTCGGGCCTCACACCAGAATCCCAAACCAAACAGGAGTGTCCGGTAGCTGCTCAAACCTGACACACCTGGCCTGCACCAAAAACCTTGCTCGAACCTGACTCCAAACATCCCCGAGCCACCCCCAAACCTTATCTGGGCTGAGACCCTTTAGCTTGTCAGCTGTTGGAGAAAAAGCGATTTTCGGGTGGGGGGGGGTATTCTTCCATTGTCATTTGCAGAATTGGTATACCTCAACAGTACATAAGATAGGTACATTTTGGTGGCATGGGTAACGCTTGGCATGGGTGCGTTTTTTTGGGGTTGGTTGGTTTAGGGTGGCCTTTTGCTTCAAGCCAAAGCCCAAGAGAAGATTCCGGCACCAGACCCCCATGTTGAACGAAGAGGTGTTACTAAACTCTCCTTTGGGAAGGCTTCAATGGAATTGCGGGTGGATGTTGAATGGGATCAAGCCGAACCCCCTCAATTCCTCTGAACTCAGCTGAATTGGTTATATGGACTCACGTAGCGGGTATAAAGAGTAAAGCAATTGTCTGCCGCAGCCACGTCAGTTTAAGGTGTGGCGTAGTTGGATGGGGGAGCAGCCGTGCCCACTGTGTGAAGGTCGGTACGGGACCTTCCGGTGGTGCACGGTGTGTAGCTCCCTGGAACAGCTCCGTTTCGCTGTCCTCCGTGGGTTTGAGCGGGAGGACAGCGAGGAGCTTGGGAGGAGAATCAGGGATTTCTCCTCGACCCTCCTGTCTTGGGGCGCTCGGCTCCAGAGGCAGCGGGAGGGTCGCACTTTCGATCAGGTCAAAGCCGGTGGTGCTGGACCTTCTGTGCCCGCTGGGCTAGGGACTCTTAGGCCGGCTGAGCCCGCTGGCCCCCCTCCGGCAGGAGGGGATCTGGAGGGGACGCACTCGGCGTCCTCTCCTGCTACCACCTCCAAGGCCGCTCCGGAGGTGCGAAGAGTTTCCCGCACGCCAGAAAGGCGGAGGAGAAAAGAGAGCAAGAGGAGCCGCAGCTCAGGGATCCCCCTCCCCCTGCTCCTAGGCCCCGTTCCCCTGCGGAATTGCCTGAGGAGGTTCCGGAGTTGGGTGCCAGGAGGAGGGAGGCGAACGAGGTATCCCTCACTGAGTCAGAGGGCTGCTGTGATAGAGAATGGGGAGAACCCTCCTAGGCGCCGTCGCCGTGTGGGAGGAGGAGAACTGGTGCTGGCCGAGCTCGATATGGTCGGGCTGGGGATACTGGATGGAAGAAACTTCTGTTGTGGGAGTAGTCAAGGGTGCCCGCATTGAGGGGTCCAGTGCTTATTTGGACCTCTTGGTGGAGGGGACCCGATCCGGAAGACTCCTGGAGTATGTCTCAGGCACTCCCGAGGGGCGCATTAGGCTGCATGTGTGTCCGCCGGAGTGCGAGCAAGAGCTTTGCGAGGATGGCCTGGTACATGGTCGTGTGTTTCGCGAAGTTGTGCCCACTGAGGCGTGGATGTCGAATGCGTGCAGGGTGGAGCCCGACGAGAATCGTGCTCTTCGTGAAGAAGCAGAGAAGCTAAGAAATGCAGGAGCGGCGGGAGCTCATGCTCCTGATGAGAACTCCTATGAGCCCGAGGCGGGGGACTTGGAGGCGGATCGGAAGAAAAGGAAGGAGGCGAAGGAGAAGAGAGGAAAGAAAAAGAAGAAGAGGGTTGTGCTTGAAGGTAAGAAGGCGTTGAAAGATGTGGTGGGGTCCACGGGATTGGACCCGGACCCTGAGGTGAGGAAAATCTTGTTGAAGCGAGCATCCCGGGCAGTAAGGAAGAAGAGGAAGAGGTCAGATGATAGCTCGGGGAGGGCCTCATCGTCCTCGAAGTCTGAAGAGGAGCCTGAGGAGCTGTTCGGATGCAGCACGAGGCCCGAAGAGGTGGGCCGCCGCTTCCCAGGCGTGTTGGCGGCTGAAGGAATCAGGGAGATGCGAGCCAGCCTCCTGAAGAACACGGGGCAGTTGTGGGATTTGGAGGATGGCCCACTTCCTCCTCTGAGCACCATGTACTTCAGGCAGACCTTAATGTCGAAGATGGCACCTCCGATGGCTCGGGAGACCCACACCCTGTGCTACGGGTTGGATCTCCTGTTGCAAGGCCGGGCTGCAGAGCTAGGCGACCTTTTGGTGCAAAGGATCAAGAGCCTGGAAGGCGTTGCTGCTGGTCTTCACTATTCGGTGATGCAGAAGATGGAGCTCCTGCCCATGGATGCATCCCGTGTGGCGCGCTATACCGAGGTGCATGATGCGGCTAGGGTAGCACGTGATGAGGCCCGAGCTTTGTCTGCTGGCTCCCGGGCACAAGGAAGAGGAGGTTCAGATTCCGGTTGGGTGCCGTATGGGCCGCGAGGCAGAGATGAGAAAGGTGGTGGAAAAGGAAAAGGTGAGAAGGGGAAGGATAAGGGTCGTGCAAAAGATTGGCCCAGGAAGAAGGAGGAGAAGAAGTGATGAAGAGGAGGCATTCGGGAGAGGGCTCCGCGTTGGAGATCTCTCCTGGGGGAGCCGGGGAGGCGGTCGACCGTGAAGGTCCCCCTCCTGGGCGCCCTCTGGCCGTGCAAGAGCGGCTGAACGCTATCAAGCTGAGGCTCCCGGGGTTAACCTTAGGCGAGGCTGGTGGATGCTTGGTGGATTTGCTAGATCTTTTCCATGTTGGAATGTTGCACTGCAAGTCCCAGCCCATGGAAGGGAAATCCATATTTCCTCTTCCCCTAGCAATCCCTTCCGAGCTTTCACCCGCCAAACATGCGCTGCTGTCCGCAGTGTGCCGGAGTCTCAACTCCCTTGCGGGATGCACAGACCCGCAAGGCCGGTCATCGCACGCTGGACGCATGGCCGTGAAACAACTCGCGGCGGCCGTTGAGGTTTGTGAGAGTTGGGTTGAGGTTTTTCAAGATGTGAACTTTTCGGACTTCCTGAGGGTCAAAGGCATTGACTACAAGGGGGATGAGGTGAAACTGGCTGTCAACCTTAGTTGGGAGCGCCTTGCCCCTGCTCTCCCGGATGAAGTAGGGAAACTCAACCTGGCAGAGCTTTGCACCCTTGGAACCCGCTTTTACGTGGACCATTTCGAGGACTTCTTGGTTCCTTCAAATGAGATGAGTCTAGGCAAGCCTCCCCGAGTTTTTGCCGATGCCGAAGAGTGGCCTGCTATTTGCCAAGGCTTGATGGATAAAGGGATCTGCGAGGTGGTGCCTGTGGATGAGCTGTTTCACATTCAAGGTCAACCCCTCCTGAATGGCATGTTCGGAGTTGGAAAAGGCGAGTTTGTGAACGGGAAGGAGACACTCCGGTTGATCATGAACTTGATCCCTTTGAATAGAATCTGCCGAAGTGTTTCCGGTGACGTGGGTACGTTGCCCCAAATTTCGGGGATGTCCGCCTTCGTGTTGGAGGGGTCCGAAGTGGCCCTCCTGTCGTCTGAGGACATCAGATGCTTTTTCTATCTTTTCCAGGTTCCCCCCGCGTGGAAAAGATTCCTGGGGTTCAACAAGGCTGTCCCAGAGGACCTCGTTCCCTCCTCCCTTACTGGGAGGAAGTGCGTTCTTGCCGCCAAGGTCCTCCCTATGGGGTTCCTTAACAGTGTTAGCATCGCCCAGCATGTGCACCGTAACGTGATTAGGAGCGTGGACCCCCTCCTTTTGACGGGAGATCAAGAGATCCGCAAAGACAAGAGTTTCCCTGCGAGCTCCCGCCTTTTTAGGATCTACCTCGACAACTTCGATTTCATCCAGAAAGTGGACTCCCAGTTGGCCTTCAGGCTGGAGGGGAGGGAGAGCCCGGAACAGGAGGCTGTCAGGAAGGCCTACGAGTCGGCCTGTCTGCCTCGGCATCCCAAGAAAAGTGTGGTTAGTGCTGAAAGGGCAGAGGTGCAGGGCGCTGTCGTCAGAGGCAAAGAAGGAGTGGCTTATCTCCGCCCGGAGAAAGTACTTAAGTACATGGGTCTAGCGGTGGAGCTGATTGTGTGGGGCCGAGCTGGCCTCAAGCATCTGCAAGTGGTCGCAGGAGGGCTGGTGTACATTGCTATGTTCAGGCGCCCGCTGTTTTGTGCCCTCAATTGCGTGTGGCGTCACATTGAGGTTCTGAAGCAGGGAGGTGGCAAGCCTCAGCTTCTACCTCCTGCCGTGGTGGCCGAGCTGGTGCGTTTCTTGTGTTTGGTCCCTCTGGCCCAACTGGACTTCCGAGGGGAGTTGGTGGGAGATGTCACTGCAAGTGATGCGTCCACCACTGGTGGGGGTATCTGCGTCACGGAAGGCCTCACGAGTTATGGGGTTCATGCCTCCCAGGCCAGTATCCGGGGGGAATGGCCTGAACCCCATGATATGTGTCAGGTGTTGACTGTAGGCCTTTTTGATGGCCTTGGAGCTCTTCGCTTGGCTTGTGATGCGCTTGGCTTGCCTATGTGTGGGCACATTTCCGTTGAATCACACGCCCCGGCCCGCAGGGTTGTCGAAAGTTTCTTCCCGGGTACCGTGATGTGGGATGATGTCCGCACTGTAACTGAAGAAGTCGTTCTGCAGTGGTCAACCCAGTTCTCCTCGGCAGGAGTAGTGCTCATAGGAGCCGGACCCCCTTGCCAGGGGGTCTCCAAGCTGAACGCGGACAAGAAGGGTGCTTTGAAAGATGCACGAAGCTGCCTCTTTGCAGAGGTGCCCCGGATTACCGCGCTGATCCGCCGATGTTTCCCCTGGTGCCAGGTGAAGTTCCTCATGGAAAGTGTTGCATCCATGGACGACTGTGACCGGCATCACATGAGTGAGGCCATAGGATTTGGGCTGGCATGTTGATAGTGGTCAGGTCAGTCCTTGCCGGCGTCCTAGGCTGTACTGGGTCGATTGGGAGCTGGGTGGTGGCGAAGGAGTTTCAAAGCCGAGACCGCCTGGTTGGTATACTGGCTGTTCTTCCCGTTGGGACTGTGTGCGCCGCGGTCTTTGCAGGACATCGTGAAGAGCCTCACGCCCGGATGGTCTCCTACTTTCCAGGGAGTACTACTGCGGCCCCCTTTGAGGGCTGTCAGGGGCACCAAAGTTGATGCATCGTTGCAACTCGTAAAGAAGTTCCTTGGGGTCATTTCTATAAAAGGGGAAGATCTGCTGCTTCAGGCTTCTACCGATGTCCATGTCCGGTTCCACAGGTTGCGAGCATCTATCCCCAGCAGATTGTGGCGGTGGAAAACTGTGGCGGGATGGACTTGGAAATCACATACGGACCACATCAACGTTTTGGAATTGCGCGCCATCCTGAGCTCGGTCAAGTGGCGCCTCGAGCAGCGTGGACAGATGCACAAGAGGTGGATCCATCTCACTGACTCTCTGGTTTGCCTGCACAGCCTTTGTCGTGGCCGCACGTCGAGCCGCAAACTTCGTAGAACCCTAACCCGAATCAATTGCTTACTCCTCGCGACACGCTCCCAGCCCCTATGGGGGTATGTGCACACGCACCAAAATCCGGCCGATAGGCCAAGCAGGAGGGGTGTCCGCCGCAAATGGTTAAAGCAATGAAGCACGTTGAAGGGAGGTCGCAACGGGAGCGAGCAAAGATTCGGAAAGATTTGGGTTCACTCAAAAGTTTGACTGTGCAGCCAGCTACGCGTACCAGATATGAGAAAGCCCGGACGCGTTTTTTAAAACATTTGCGAGATGCAGGGATCGCAATTCCAAAGCAGAAACTTTTAATGGATGAGTTGGTCTCCGATTATATCGAGACTCTGTGGTCCCAAGGAGAAGGCAGGGCTTTGGCTTCGGATACCCTAGCCGGACTGCAAGATTTGGACCCCAGCCTCTGCCACCAAATGCCCCAAGCATGGCGCCTCATGAAGGCGTGGAACAGCAATGAGATACCAAACAGAGCTCCTCCGTTCCCAGAGAGCTTTTTAAAGGCCATGGTGGGCCGATGTCTGTTCAAGGAACACCACAGCATGGCCCTTTCTCTGCTTGTGGGATTTTATGGCTTGCTACGCACTGGAGAGTTGCTTAGCATTCAAGCTCGTCACGTTTCAGTGAGTGCGGATCACAAAACCGCGGTTATTTCGCTAGGTTGGACCAAGGGAGGCAAACGTCAGGGAGCTGCCGAAAGCTGCACAATCACCGTATGGGATGTGGTGCGGCGTCTTGAACAGTGGGTACTTTCAGTGCCCGGTGGCTCCTATATGTGCGCCTCCCCGTCTACCTGGCGAAAAACTTTTAATCAGCTCCTGGCTGATATTCGAGTGACTGAGGTTGAGTTTCGGCCGTACAGCCTGCGCAGGGGTGGTGCAACCTTTTGGTTCCAACGTCATGGCCAATTTGACAGGTTGTTGGTCCAAGGTAGGTGGCAGGCAGCGAAGACTGCCCGCATTTACCGAAACGAAGGGCTGGCAATGTTAGCCGAGATGAGGTTCTCTCAATCCCAACTGAGTGCTTGGGTTCGATTGTACCAAAACGCACTTAGAAGTGCGCTGCCGAGGCTCGAGCGAGCGTCTAGACGCAGTACAGGGGGACGTGGAAAGAGGTCGAAAAGAGGGAAAAAGGGGTGGTGGCTAGGCTGTTCTGGAGTTTCTTTTTCAAACGGCCTCGAAATGGCACCTGAGCGCCCTAGTTTCTTCCGGCTTGGCGGAAGAGCTAGGGGGGGTGCGGGGGGGGATTTCCTCTTTCTTCGGCTTGGCGGGAAAGGGAAATCCTGAGGCCCCCAGTTTGTCAAGAAACGGGCAAGGGGCCCTGGGCTAGTTAGCCACCACTAAGAGGACGTAACTTTTTATTTATGACAAAGTTGGACTTGCTGTGCGCAGAAAAAGTGCTGCTTACTCTTTATATATATATATATATATTTCTCTTTTCTGATCCACTGGTGGTTTTGCCAGAAGCAGGGTTTTCTCCTAGCGACCGCCTCCAGTCCTTCAGAACTGGGACAAACGTCGCTTGAGCCTTGTGGCAAACGTTGGCCGCAGGAGCGGCGCTTGCCCGCCCCGAGGGAAAATGGGGTAGCCGTTCCAATGTGATGGAACCTGGCTGATGAACAAATTCCCTACGCATGAGGCATTTCAGGTTGGCGCAGTGTGTTTTGGTATTCACTCAGTAGATACTTTCCATGGTCAAAGGACCCCTTGCGCAGGAGATGGACGGCCGTGGCAAGGATTTCTCTAAAGGAATGACCATGGTCCGCGCGAGGAGTTTTGACCGCACAGAATGCTTTCGCAACCCGAAACCGGCAGGGGTGTGGGGAGTGGCGCTAGCCCAACTCTCATCATAAAGTACGGACCGCCTCAGGCAAAACGTCAGGGACGCTCGGGCGCCCTAGAGAATCAAGGGACCCCCGAACCCTTTGGGAATGGATTTTCGGGGCAAGAATCGCTAGGACTTTCTTCTTTTTTTTTTTTAAGGTACCGCAGCAGTTTGGGCTCCCCCGATTTGTTTTTTGGCACATACCCCGCTCGCGAGTTTCGGGACGCCCGGTGGAGCCAAAGGTTTGGATGCTTTGGGCGCGGATGGCGGCCACGGTCGCAGCTTGCCCCAGGCGACGTGGAGAGACGTGGGGGGAGGGTTCGGCGGGGAGCCGCTCGCCTTTCTGCTACAAAGCAAACCAAGGCAGACGGCGCACCCTTAGTGATGTGTTGCTTGTTTTCCAGATCGGGGTGCCATGCGCATCTGCGAGATGGTGCAAAAACTCCACGGGTGGCTTTCCCCATGCTTTTCAGCCACATTGTGCCCTGAGACAGCGGTTTCCTCTCTCCAAAATGCTGCAAAGGAACTGGAGTTCGCAACCCCCAGAACTGGAGTTCTGGAGTCTCTAAAAGTATTAGGTACGAGAAATTTGTGGGTTCCTGGGGGAGCCTTACAAAACCCCCCCTAGTCACCACAACCGGCGCACGTCCGCCGCTCACCCGCAGCCGCTGTAGGTGAGCCTCACGCCGGAGCCGGAGCCCCGAAACTTGGACGACGGCGGCTTCGGAGGCGCGGAGGGAGCCGGGGAGCCGCGGGCGAAACGAAGTGGCTTCATACTTCCAGCTGGCTGTGGCTCAAAAAACCGGTACCACAATGGAACCCTGGTAAGTGGAAACATGGACCAAAACCTGCGTAACCCCTCCTATTTAATTTGGAGCCACACCCATCTGGTGAAGAGTATTTTTTGATTTCCCCCTGTTGGTTTTAAAGAGAATCTACCACTACTGGAAATATGTTCTATTTTTCCAGGGGACTTGAGCAAACGGAGGCATAGGTGTCGCTTCCCCGCCGTCCAGTTCCTGATCTTGTTAAGTTGCTTAGTTGGTTTTCAGTGGTTGGGTGTCCATTCAACGAGCTAAAAGTTAAGCTTTTAGCAGGATCTGAGGGGACCAGCCCTTTTACTCAGTCGCACAAGGCGAATCCACCCTTTGACCTTTTGGTTTCCACTTCTGGGTCCATTTTTAGTCAAGGTCTCAACAGATGAACCTTTGTTTTTGCCAGGTCCTTTAGGCAAGTGAGCTTGGGTTTTTGGTTGAGAATAGATGGCCCTGGTTGCATTTTGGTTCTAATCATCTAGCAGTGCCATTGCCGCCAGGCCTTTGTTTCTGAAAGGCACATCTTCGGGCTTCCAAGCTTTTCCTGTTTGCCCTGGGGTCTTACTTTGAGAACAGGGAGGTTGTTCAGTGTATCCTGTCCGAATCCTGTTTTTCCCGAAGGCATTGCGAAGGATTCTTCCAGTAAAATCATTAGCTTTATCGCGCAGGAAGATACGACAGAGTACATGCACTGCACGATGCCGAGAGCCCATCCATAGCGAGAGACTCGAGAGCACGCGCGCACATGATGCACTAGAGCCCGTGCTTTGTAAGAGACTCGAGAGCCCATGTCGAGCACACATGCAGAGCAAGAAGAACGAGAGCCCACACGTAGCAAGAGAGACAAGAGCACGCATGCCCACACTCCCACACACAGACACACAAACAACGGCCAGCAAATTTGTTGGGTTTTCATTAAGTATGGCACCTGTCAAACCCCGGCAGAAAGTTGGCAAATGCTTTCCAGCGGTTTTCCTTGACCAGCTGACCGTTTTCTACCCTCGTGGCGGGTCGAATGAGAGCGATTTTGCAGGTGTCTCGTGAGGGCTCAGACCACTGGAGGGAACACCTCTATGAACAGAACGGGTTGCTCATGGTTTTCTACCGACTCAGTTGCCCAAAGCCGGCCTTTTGATATTCTTCGTGCTTTGGTCCACAGTCAAGGTCACAAAAGGTCGACCTTTTATATCCTTGCGGTCCTTTGGTCAAGTGAGCCAACTGGGTCACCGCTTGCTACCATCGGGCGGCCCGCGGCCCATCGTCTCGAGAGGCCTCGCGGACCTCGGGAATGATGCCGCGGCCTCGAAGTTCGAAGACTTTGGGCAGTTCGAGACGGAAGGCTTTGGGGAATTTCCGGAGAAGGAGAAGAAGGAGAAGAAGAAGACGCAGGGCAATATGTTCTGTTTTTTCTTCAGTTGTTTGTTATGATGTTGTGGTGTTTGTTTCCGTAGCATGTTTTGTGGTTGAACCAGAAAAAGATGCATGGATTTGCTGGAAATGACTTTTGCTCTTTGTGGGCATGTGTGTGTGTGTGCCCATTCGTAGATGTGTGTCCCAAAATATTGGAGAGCAAGAAGGTCTTAATGCCTGGACACGGTCTGGCATCTTCATTGCAGACGCTCAGGACTTGCCGCCCTTACTCTCCCAGCCATGCAACTCGTTTGTAAGTTCTTCGGGTTGGTCCTGATCCAATTGATAGGCATCACGACCCGCGCTCTAGCTAGTACTTGGTCGGATGGGGATGCCATCTGCCCCTGCTGCCACGAAAGTGAAACCATCACTCACCGTGTCCTTACTTGCGTCTCGCTCAAACAGGAGACAGTTGCAATATGGGGAGAAAATCTCCGCGATATCTCTGATACCTCTCCCTAGGGATGTGAGAACTACTTGCCGCCACTTTTCAGGCCCTCTCCTCAACCCACGGATCGGAGAGTAAATGTCCCAGGATCGACGTCCCATCAATGCTCCTTCGCTCTGGCGGCACAAGAGCTATTTGGGAAGAATTGTGACCGGATCTAGCCGCTAAGGGAGCGGTGGAACAGGACAGTGCAGTCGAGGGCTGTTTAAAAGCAAGATCAAAGGAAAACAGGATGCCCTTCATTTTTGTTGCCCCCTGTATTTGGCCATTGCGACTATAGGTGCTTTCTTCCACACAGCTCCCCAAATGTCGGAACCAACCAGATGCACCCCAAAATCCCGAGCCCTTGCCTTTTGACTGGCTTCCCATTGGGAGTTCGTGACGCGTATGGCGTCACTCTGGGCTTCACTGGGCTCAACGCGGGGAGGCTCATGTCGTTATGTCGTTCCGCGTAACGTGTGCGAAGGGGCCACGGATCCACTATATACATACCCCGACTGAAAAAGAAATATGAGCAGCCTGAACAGCCTTCGCACTCTTTTAGCAACTGCAGCTCTCTGCCATGGTACAAAAAAGGCAAACACTTGTACGGTTTTGGCGTGAGCTTCGGGTTCAAAGGACACCCAGATTCTTGTGAAGAGAGGTTCTATCCCTCCTCGCAGATAGCCTCACTTGTGCAAAGGCCCTTGTCCACTTCCTTCACTTGCCAAGAGTTCCACCACCACTTGCAGCCCACGATGTCCTCAGCCGAGACGGCCCTTTGTCGCCCGCGCCCCGCAAGCTCGTACGCAGCTTGCGCGAAGCTATGCGCAGTTTCTGAGGAATAGTCTTCCAAGCGAAAAGTTGATTTTTGCAGGGGGTCCCGGTGTCCTGGCTTCGGGGTTGGGCTTTGACCTGACTAAGAAGTTTGGTCAGCTAAGGAAGAAGAAGGACAAGGCCAAGGACAAGCTGGACTTCGACACAGATGTGCAGAGCCTTTGATTCCCTTTGCAGTGCCAAACAAACTGCGGCTGTCGGAGTTAGTTCGGTTGGATTGTTTAAACCAATTGCTTAGAGGTTAAGCGAGCTTATCTATCATGGTTGGACTTTAGTGCGACCTTCGCCCTCCAGTCCTTTTTGGAACCATATTCTTTTCCGTTAAACCTACGAAAGGATAGACCTTGCTTCGTGGGGGCAGAGCAACCCACTCCTTTATTTGGGGTCCCTTGTTTCCGGTTTCTGGTCAAATGCCCAGATCCACCCTTCCACCAGCAAACGTGGGAGCGGGCAGAACCCTTTTCCAAGAGGCAAGCCCTTTTCCGAAAGCAGCCTGTGCACTTCCTGTTTGTTTGGTGCGAGGGTATGCAAAATCAGGGAACCTCCCCTTCAGCAGGAGAACATGCTGTTGCAAAGGCCGATCCACGAAGTTCCAGGGACCCGGCCGGAGACACCCGCATGTTTTTTTCTTTTTCCCCCAGATAGCTGGAAGCTACTTGGGTTCTAACTTCTAATAAAGAGGGGAAAGTGATTTGCGAGATTGATGGCTAGGTGCTGGGGGGCATGCAGTTTGGGGTGTTTGGGGTGCTGGTGCGTGTGTTGTTTCCGGGTGCTGGTGGCGGTGCGGGCGTTTTGCGAGATTGACGGCCGGTGCTAGGTGGCATGCAGTTTGGGGTGCTGCTTGGGGTGTTGTTTGAGGTGCTGGTGACGGTGCGGGCGCATTTTTGCGAGATTGACGGCAGGGTGCTACGAGGCATCAGTTTGGGGTGCTGGCGCAGGTGCAGTTTTTCGCTATCTGGGGTGTATGCTGGTGTATTTTTGTTGTTTTTTATTGTTTCCCCCGTTTTTGATTGGAAGGGCAGGGACAGGTATTTGTTGCGATGCTCTTTCGACCAACATGTCGTTCATGGAAATCCACGCGTCCACGCGGCTCGGATGCCGCACGCCGATGCACTGACCTTCGCCGAGGGCGGATTTCCCGGGCGGCGACTGGCGCGAGCCGAGCGCGGAGAAGGATTTGGACCCCTTCAGCACCGCCGCAGACTTCCCTGCGACGGCGAAGGCGCCGCGCTGTCGCGCTGGGTCTGCTCCAGGGCTTGGGGGTTCAGTACCAGCCATCCGGTTCCTAAGGTTTTTCCCCGGCAAGAAAGCGATTTGGGGTCGATAGGCGGCGATGGGTGGTTTGGGGCAGTTTTGAGGGAGGGTTCGGGAGGGTTCCAGCGGGTTCCAGACCAGCTGGGCTTATTGGCTTAGTGGTTGGGTGTCCGTATTTAACCCACTAAAAGTCATTCACTTTTAGAAAACGGGAATCTGAAAACGGACAGCCCAGCCTGGTTTCTTACAGTCAAATCTGTGGCCCCAGAGACTCCCTCCCTTGGATAACAGGCGTCTCTTTGCGCAATCTGTGCTGTTCGCGTCTTTGGGGCGAACAAATCCCCATATGTTAAATGGAGGTTTGCACCACTTAGATTGGCGTGGCCATTGAAGTCCGTCGCATGTCAAGCCTGAACATTGAGGGACCCGTTCTCGAAACACTATTTTAAGATCCGGTGGTTCCCGTGTAAGCCACCATTTGTTGGTGATTTTGCGGATGTCTTTCCAAAACTGACCCAGTTTCCCTTTGGTTCAAGAGAGCCCAAGCAGGGTAGCCTAAAACCACATATATGCAGGTCCCTCTTTAGGCCTTTGATCTCCTGCTTGTTGTTTTCCCTTGGTTCAAAACATGAATCGTGCCACATGTGTCTTTGGTTTTCTTTAGGGGAACAAACTTAAGAATCAGCACACATGCCCAGCATCAAACAGAGGGCTTGGTTGGTTTGCGCGCAAAGCTGACATCGGTGTCTCATCCAAATCCCTTCGTGAACATTTCAGCGTAGGATAAAATAGGGACCAGAATCTGAGCATGTTCTTTTTTGTGTAGCCCGGATTTGGGGCAAGCTAGGCTAGGGTTTATATAACAGCGTGTTTGTCTCCTCAGATGGAACTCGACTTCCCTTGCCCAAGGTTAACGGCGTCCATTCAAGATGTTCTAATAACCAACTGCCTCTATAATGTTTTCTATTGTCCCGAAAGCATTGCAAAGTCAAGTTGCGCGAGCAAGTTGCACGAGAGATTGCCCAGGCTACGCAAGCGTTACATCGGAGTCGTCAGAGGATGCTAGAGCAAGTTGCACGGGTTTTGTGCAGTGTCGAGGTTCAGACACTGAGGACTCTTACTGTTGTTTTCTTTGTCCACGCGACCCTCTGCCGGGTTGGCGTGGTCGATGTTCAAAAGCTGGGGGGCAAATGCTACTTTTGGAGTTGCCCGCGCGATGCGGAGATCGGCATGGTCAATGAAAAAACAAACAAACAAAACACAACCCATCTTTCAGATTCAGGCCAGCGGCCTCGGGCTCAAATCCCCTTGGTCGGGGCGCGCGAAAGTACCACACGCGAAGTACCGCGGCGCAGCTCCAGCTTGAAATCGCAAGTATGAAGCACGAACGTGCTAGGCGATGCGCTGACGCAGCTCCGTCCCGAAAACAAATCAAGCACAAACGCGGCGCGCAAAGCACACTTTCGAAGCTCCGGCTTGAGCATCGCGAATGTTCAGTGCGAAGGAAATCAGTGCGCGCAGCAAAGGTTCGGAGCTTTGGCTCGACTTTCCGCTTAAAGATTGCAAAGGGTTCTGCCGAGACAGTTGACAGTATTTTTGCCGAATGGTTTGGATCGGTCCCGAACGGGCAAGCTAGCACGTGATCATGTTTTGCAAGTTTCCCGTTTGGCGTTACAATTGTACAAACAAGGGGGTAGCAGGTTGTGCATCTTGCTCAGCGTTCGCTGTGATGGGCATGTTTAGTATCTGCTCCGGTTTCGTTTGTGGGAGAATATGGGGGCCTTGCCGAAATCATGCAGCTGCATATGTGTGTGTGTATGTCTTTTCTTGGGGCAACCCCCTTGGCTTGGCAGGAGAAACGCCACAAAACCTGGAAATGCCCAGGCGTTGACTGCAAATGGGCCCCGGTCATGGTTCTCTTACAAACCCTTTCAGCCCAAAAAAGGTTCAAAAGGCGTTCCAAAGGCGTTCAAAAAGGGTTCGCAAGTCGTTCTGGAGTGTTTGGAACCGTGCAGTACTTTCCTGTTGTGACAATTGGGTCGTTGGAAACCCGAACGAGTGCAACAAAAATCCGATCCAGGCATAATTTTGCATATTCTTTGTTGTTTGGTGTTCCAATTGAGGAAGAGAGCAGGCAGAGCAAGTAGCGCGAGGCCTTTCACAGTTTGCACTGGTACTACATTTGTGCATACGCAGTGAAAAATGCGTTCGGGCCACCTATCTTCTAGTGTCTTTTAAGCCTTCCCTATCCCCTTCGCACCATCATAAAGAACGGATACTCCAGCAGAAGCTGGCAGGAGGTCCTCTTTGGACAATGGTCCAAAGGAGCATCGTACCCACTTGTTCAGACAAAATGGAAAATGAGATGCCGGCCCTAAGAAGTGGTCTGAAACGGGGGCTTAGGGCCTTTTGGCTAGTTGGGCAACCATCCCTCCTTTTAGCGAAATCCAACCCGCCTCGGGCAATCTTGCGGAACCGGCTAGCCGTTCCGCAAAACTGATCGAAGCACTGCCGACTTTGGCGCCAGGTACAGTGGGCAATAAGGGCAAGCAAAGGTTGGTTTTCCTGTTGGTTTCCCTTCAAACTTACCTGAAAGAAAAACCCTCAAAAGTCAAACACACACACACACAGACCTCTCAAGTCCTATGATCATGGCTGCCAGTCGTCCCCTTGTGCGGCTCAATACCCGCGGGTCCCCTCCCAGAAATGGTCTTTGACTTTCAAGTGGCTTTGGAGGAAATCCAGCAAATTTGAGGGGGAGAGACGCCGATTTGGTATGGGTACGCCTTTTGTGAGGGTACTGCGTCTAAGGTTGGCTTTGAACCACTGCCATATCTTCTGCAAACATCGTATTTTACGGGCATGCGACAGGGGTCTTCAGGCCTTGCGGTGGGTTACCCTTCTCCAATAGTCATAGGAATGCAGAGGGAGGTTTTCATACAGTACCGTTGCGTTCATTTGTGTTCTGTCCAATTCGATGATTGTTGCAAAGAGTAAAAGATGAAAGGTAATCGAGAGGAGTGTGGTCCATCCAAAAAAGCTCCTGATAAGATATGTTTCTCTTTGGCGGGCTAAACATCAGAATTTGGCTGCTCATTTGTCTCAAGCTTTTGGAACACCGTGACCACTGCCAAACATATGTTGGCTTGCCTTTGGCCTCCCTTTCAAACAACGTCAAAGAGGATACCCTCAACAAAGGGGAGGCGACGTTTTGGGACCAAACTAGGGGTACAAGTTTGGATGTGTTTTGGCCAACCGTCCTAAGAGGAAGCCACACGTTTTTGTTTTTACTTTCTCCTCGTTGGGTTGGACATAGGTGATAGGCTCAGAGCTGGGTCGCGCACTCTTGGAAGGCGGACTTCGGCGACTTCGGCGGCATGGACTTTGGAGGCGCGGTGAGCGGTCTGTTTTGGGTGGGGTGGGTGGGGGTGGGTGGGGTTGGGTTGCGCCCGGCTCGCTTCCCAAGTTCCTGGACTGATTCCAGCAGGCGCCTGTAGGGTACCAAGGGAAATGTCGAAGGGACCGGTCCCCTTCTCAGGTGCCGTGTTGGCGGGGGGGGGGCCTACTTCTCCGGTGCCCCCTCAGAGGAAGTGCTGGAGCCAGTGCCCATTTGTCTCACTTTGGGTACTCCTGTAGCCAGGTACCAACAACTTGACCAAAACCAGGGCTGCTACTGTATCCATCACCTATGGCTACTGGAGGTCTGGGACAGGGCCGAAAATGAGGGTTGTCTTTCTGTTTTGAGGTCCTTCACTTAAGTGAAGTGCGGTTGACTTGAGTGGCATGGAAGCCAAAGAGAAGAAACGAACAAGTTTGAGACTGATCTAAAGAGAGGGATTTAGATTTTGTTCATGTGGAATTGACATTGCCTGCAAGAAGAACACAGTGCACTTTTTGGTCTAGGGATTGCGTTTGCTGCCGGATCCACCTTTGTATTGCTCCGAGTGAGAACAGAGTGCATCGATTTCAACATGGCTGGTCCTTGGTGTGAGCTAGCTCCTTAGACCTTTTGGACACACATGGATTTTCATGTTTATCAGTGAACCTGCGAAAGGCTAGACCTTGTGCTAAGGCTATAGCTACATGTGCGGAAGGATTGGGAGTTGATACGCCTCAATGGCCAACTTACTGCTTCAAAACGGAAGCTGACTGCAGGAAAAACGGGAGAGCTTCGAACGCCCGCTTGGAAGTGGTTCAGCTTTCCTCTGTCCGTTGGACGCTGTGGGGGCTGAATTTCCATAGCCCAACTTAGCAATTCATTCACCACCTGGGAGTTCATCTCCGGGTTTCATATCGATATGAATGACATGAATCCTCGCCTAATGCTGTCCACCAAAGAGTCTCCAGGTAAAAGGTTGACAAACAGTACCCAGTTGCCCAGTGGCGCCCCTTTTTGTTCCTTTCTTTTGGAAGGGTTCCCCTTTAAACTCAACCAACAAAATCGACGCCCCTTTTTCCCCGTGGAAATCCGGGCAGAGAGTCTGGACGTACATTCAGCTTTTCACTTAGGCCTCGGTGGCGGTGACTTCGGCTTCGGGGAGATGGCCGAGATGGGCTTCGAAGGCTTGGAAAGCCAGGACATGCAGCCGGCGGCTCGTCCGGTGAGTTGGACATCACACGCCTTGGGGTCGGACCGATTTCGTTGTGAAGAAGGTGCGGAGGCGGTTTTGGGCATCCACTTGGGAAGCGAGCTTTCGGGCTTTGGCAGGGCTGGGGCGGTTCCTTTGTAGGGGGCTGCACAAAAAATGTTTGCTGCCATACCAAGGGTTGAGCCCAACTCGGAGCCAAGTCGCAAGGGGTTGGTTCAAAGGGACACCGGAAGGACGCGGGAAGGCACGCCGCAACCTTAACAAAGACACACCCGTATTGATTTAGATATTCATACCAAGGGAAGGACCAAACAGGCGCCCTTCTGGGCTGAACGTGTGGGTTTTTTTCTTTCGAGTTGGCTGTGAGTCAGATTGTGATCAAAGGCAAATTCAGCTGGAAACCACCCAGCTAGAGGGTACTTCCTTTCTCGAAGGCTTGTAAAACCGCAGGGCACAACCACTTGGAAGTCTTCTCATCTCAAGCTGCAGGGAACTAGTCTCTTGTTTCTTGTCTCTGTGAAGCGGGGTGCTTCTATTTCCAGAACCCAGAGCGTGCAACGTGTCAAAGGGGAACCGGTGTGTCTCAAAACCGGAACCTGAAACAACCCGACAACAGGGCGCTCTTAGAAAGGACGAGTCACCCATTCGTCGTTTTTGATTTCTCGTTTGAGCCGAAGCCTAACGTCAAGCCGTTGCCGAGGAGAACGTCAAGCACCTGAACTCGGTGGCCAAGTGCGACCGCTCGCTGGCGAAGATGCTCCGGGACGAGGCACGAACGCATCGCTTTGTGCATTGGCGAGATCAATCCAGACCAATCCAAACCCAAGTGAAGGTGCAGGGGGTTAATTTCAGCTCTGAAAGTAGTGCTCGTTTGAAGAACCCTACCCTTCCAATGACCCCTCAAGGGTTAGGGGTTCATAAACCTGAATATGGGTGTGTCCTTGTTAGGGGACCCCCGCCCCAACTTGTGGTTTCCTTCAAAATCACCAAACACGCAGGTACCCTCCAAAAAAGGACGAGCTACGAATATCGAGCGATCTTGAGCAGCTCACCTAATGTTCAAGTGTCATGAGTCATGTATGCAATGAACAACATGTTGCCAAGGGTTGGGGGTACAGGCCAATCTCAAGGAAGTTGTCGAATTTGTCCTGGAAAAAGAAGGTGCGGGTGTTGGAGTTGAGGCTGACATATACTAATAAAAGCCTGTGCCCCTTCAAACATAATAGCACTCTATATCTGCAAATCCCGTTCACAAAGCCCAACGAATCTAAGTGCACAAGAAGTCCATGGAGCTCATTTTGGGCTAAACAGCTCCCAGCCTCATAACACAAGGTGTGATTTCATGTGATTTCTAGTCGGCTTGAATACCTTACCTTCGAAACACTGAAGCCTTTCGACAGCCCCTTAACTTCCATTTCAAACAACCTCTTACAACCTGTTCAATGCCCAATCTCTAAACCCAAGTCCGGGCTAAACCTCCCCCCACAACTAAATCCCCATGAAGACCTCCCCCCCCCCCCCACCAAGAACCCTTTGAACAGGCTGGAACTTCCCCACCAACCTGCCCTTCAAACAGAGCTCGAGCTGGTTTGGGCCCGTTGCAACACCATGTGATTGATTTCCATCCCTATTGAGGCCGCATTGAGGCCAGCATCCCCCACATGGCTTGAGGTTCCTGGTTGGGCCCCCTTACTTTTGGTTGGATATTTGATATTAGCTATGGTGTGTCAACGCAACCCAAAGAGAGACTAAATCTCCCCCACCGAACACCCCCCTGAACCCCCTTGAAAGGGCTGGAGCTCCCCCACCTCCTCTTACGGAGCTCTCGCTAGGTGGACCAGCTGGACGGGGAGCTGCGGCGGCTCCAGGAGCTCGGGGCCTCGCTGGAGCAGAAGCTTTCGCAGGAGGCAGTCGACTTGGAGCAGCTCGCGCGCCAGAAGAAGGCGCCGGGGGTTTCAGCCGGAGACGTCGAACGTGGAGCGGAGAGAGGGAGATCGAAGTTGACAAGGAGGGGTTGGTGAGGTTATTTTTCCAAACGTGGGGGACCCCCGTTTTCTTTGGGGGTTGGTCAAGGTGAGCTGTGTGAGCTGGGTGTGTGTTTCCCTTTCTGCGATCTGCGATTTGAGGATTTTGCACCATACCAAAATTTTCAGAATCCCAAAATTGTCAGCGGCTCCGGGTTATCCCCGTTCAACTTGTTGTTTTGTCGGACCCCTTCAATCTCAACCCCCAACACCCCCCATGAAATGGGGTGTCTTTTTGTTGAGGGTATCCGTTTTGTCATTTTTGGAGGCTTTCCAGGGAACCAACAGGAAGCCACAGTTTTTAAGGGGTCCCCAAAAAAGGACACCAAGGTTCCAGACTCCAGGGCTCCATTTTGGGTACCTATTTTTGACCCACCAAAGACTACTGTCCTATTGAAGCCCCCGATTGTCCACTTATGTTTGGGAGGTCCAATTCCAGGCGCCTGTCCACATTTTTTCGGGGAATTCATGACACCCTCAAATATGTCTACAAGAACCAGGGGTTCAAGTCCCAAACCACCAATCCAAGCCACCAATCAGAGGGAAGCTGATGTCTCTTCTAGCAAACGCCAAAAAGCAAACCACAATCAAGTCAAACAGGGGCTTTGGGGGCCTTGTTTTTCTTTTTTGTTTGTTGACCTCCCCAGAATGGTGCTTCTTTGGGTTGTCGGGTCCATGACAGACGTTTAGCCCCTGGGAAACGACAATTTCCCCACTGGGTAAAATCCATTTGTTTTTTTGTCCAACCGCTGAAAGCTATCGGGGGGGTTGTTTGGGGTCGCTTTCAGCAGGGTCCCTGGAGGGGTCTGGGGGCTGTTGGGAAGGTACCTGGGAAAGCCCTCCTTCAACCACCAAACCATCAGGCTCCAACGGAAGCTGAGAAGAGAGAGACCCCCAAAGACCCGCAACAGTCCATGGAGGAGCACCATTTTGCGGAGGGTCCAAAACAAATCACCCCAAGACCAACAAGACCCAATCCCAAACCCGCAGCCTTCCTTTTCTTCTTTTTTTCAAACGAAAAGGACGGAGAACGAATCTTAGCCCCAAGGAAGAGCAAACAAAACCAAGAACCCCCCCCAGTTGTGTTGCTTTTGTTTAAACAACACATAGAAAAGAATCTCAGCCCCTGTGTTTCTTCTGTTTTAGGCCCCCCAGTGCCCTTTTGCCCGTTTTGAGGGAGGGAAAAGATCGGGTGCCCTTATTCTAAGGACCTATCAATCACCCGGAGAAAATTTCACCCCCAAAGGCCCAAAACGAGGCCATGGAGAAGGGCCTCCTGGAGGAGAAGCAGCGCCTCTCGCAGCTCCGGGATTCCCGGGGCCAGGCGCACCTCGAGAGCCTGGCGCTCCGACGGGACCGCAGCCACCTGACCCAGGCGGGCGACGCTGGCGTCGGAAGCGGAGGAAAACAAGAAACGGACTTTTATTTTGTTGCGGTGGGTGGGGGTGGTTTTTTTTGGGGGGGCTTTTTGCGGTTGGTGTTTTTTTGTTTTTCCCGGTTGGTTGAGTTTGCTTCTTTGTTTTGCGGTGTTGTTGGAGTGGTTTGGCTTATTTTGTTGGGTTTGTTTTTGGTTGTTTTGGTAGGCGGGTGATGTTGTGCTGGTTGTTTGGTTGCTATACGTGTGTTTGTTTTGTTTGGGTTTAGCTGCTGATTTTTGTTGTGAGGCCATTCACCGACCTGTGCCAAAGGCCAAATGGGTCTGTATGGGGGAAGTTTAGGGGTGGGCCTGCGGTGTTAGGAGTAAGTTGTTCTTTCTCGTTTGTAGATTGCATGTGACGTCCCTTGTTGATATACTGATTGAACTCAAAAACAATCCTTGAGATCATACCGTTCATGGACAAAAGTTCGCACCAGTTGGACCAAGGTTCACAGCTTTCACAGGTTGCATCCATCCCAACTGGTGCGAAATGGGTTGTGGTAGGGGGACCTCTTTTCAAGGAGTGTTTACGCCTTGAAATAGGGCTTGACATGGGGAAGCCCTCCTTGGTTAAAACATGGACATATATGCAAACCTCTAGTTTGTTTGGAAACACTCGTAGGGTTTCAAAGGGAAGCCAAAAGGGAAAGGCTCAAGTAGATCATTTGACACGGGTGCCTATGTCCAGTTGTTCAGTGGATTCCACTCTTTTTCCAGCTCGACAACGGGTGTGACCGTAAATGAAGCTGTGTGTTGGCGGCAAACAGATCACCCGTGACCACTTTGAGGCGATTTGCCAATTGTTCTGGCCCCTGTTCGGGGATCAATGTTTTTGATCTCGGTCACCGGGTTTGGGTCACAACCAACCAACACATTGCCCTCATTCGTTCCAATTTGTTTAAGTCGGGTGTCCAACACATGTTGTTTTGACACGTACCTGTGTTTTGTTTGTTTGTTTGGTTTTCCTTTGTTTTTGTGTGAAACCCTTTGAGCGCATCGTATACACGCCACGCGGTTTTGTCACAATGCACTTGCTTTTCTTACCTCTTGAGTTGGCAGCCTCGAAGCTGGTTGGCAGGTTTCTTCGTTGTGGTTCCCCGGCACCATTCAATGGGCCAAGAGGCTCTCATCTTCCAAAAAACATGCGCTGTGAGTTGGCCACGCCTCGGCAAATAAATTGGGTGGATGGACAAAGTCTACTTCACACCAGTCGGTAGATGGCTTCTCTCAGGTTTTCGTCCTTCTTGGCTACGGTTGCTGAGTGCTGAGCGCTAAATCGAATAGAACAAAGCGTATTGATTTACTAGGTCCTCCAGTGGTGCCCTTTTACCCTTTTTTGGGAGAGGGTTCCCCTACTAAAATAGACTACAGAAAAAAGGGTGCCCTTATTCTAACCTTTTTATTGGAGGACCTAGTTTACTATAGGACGCACCAAGGGGATGCATTTATGTTCTTTTTTTCCAGATCCCCATTTAACGCCCAAGAGGGGATGCCTTTTTGTGGACCCGTGTGACCCTGCCATAGTAGCTCGCGGCTTTTTGACACATGCTCGGGATTTCCCAAGATCGAGCCGCCTGGAAGCGGGTCAACTAATAACCTTGGGCTTAGGTTCATGTCCTGAATGCATCTTGAACTTTCAACTTATTGGAGAATTGCTATTTTCCTACTAAACGGTTTTTGTCTTGTTGTTGTTTTGTGTTGTTCTGTTTCGTTCGTTCTGTTTCGTTCTTCTAGTTGTTTTTTTGAGGGGGGGAGGGGGCGTAACAGCCGTAATGGCCTTTTTGGCTCTACGGTCGCAGATTCTCCGCCAGGAGCTAGGCTTCCTGCGAACCATGGCGGAAGGGGAGGAGGAGCTGATCTCCGTGCTGAGGCGAGTTGGCCCTTGTTGTTTTTGTGTGTGTTTTTTTTCCCTTTTTTTTTCTCGGGGTGGTGTCGTTGGCCAGCGATTCGCCATCCGGTGCTTGAGTAGGATTGATGGGAAACCGCAGACCCCAAATTTTTGGAAGTCCAAGATTCAAACCACCAATTTGAGGGAAGCAAACAGTTGTGAGGGCCAGCCTTGTCCTTCACTGCCCTTAGCATGTGTTTTGTGTCTTCGGTCATTTGTTCATCTTTAATGTGTAGTTGCAAGCAAGAGACACGTTTGTGCCATGGGTTGGTTTCTGAAGCATTCCCAAAATGGGTGCTTTCCCTCTAAGGGTGCCATCAAAAAGCAGAGATCCGTATCCCAAGGGTTGCCATGCTTGAGATTTGGTCAAGGGTCGGTAGAGAGTTGGTTTGGGGCCGGGGGGGGAGAGGCAGGGGAGGGAGGGAGGGGTCATATATCGGAGGGGTTAGCTCAATCCAGCCTCATTTGCGGCTTATTGCCCCCTCCCCCATCCCCTCCCTCGCCCCCTAGCCCAAGGCCTGGCGCTGATCTGGGCATCTCTTCGGAATCTGGGCCCAAGCCCCGAACTTAAAGCTTCCAAAGGCGAATTCTAAGAAGCGGTTGATCAATCAACCTAAGGTTCATACCAGGGGAATATATTCATATATATATATATACTTCACGGTTGTTCGCATGTGTCTAAGTTGTTGCGGTGTTTTTGCTAAAGGAACACGTTTTCTTGCTACCATACCAAGGGTGGGACAGTATAATTAATATATATATATGCATGTACATGTACATGCAAAGTTAGAGAGAGAGAGAGAGAGAGACTACAGATGTGTAAATGAAAACTGAAACTCAGTCTAATTCTGGTCAAGTCATTTGTTGGGCTTCTCTAGAGACAAAGCAGGCATTTCCCACTCCTCCCAGTGACTGGCTCATGAGCGTGCACCACATGCTGATTCCTTGCGCCATGGCAAGTTAAAAGTGACTGTTGGGGGCCATGAAGAACCATTCAGGGCCACAACTCAAGCTTCCCTTGGCTCCCTTATGGCAAGATGGGCACGAACTTTAATAGAGAACCACCTGAAAAGTCGCTGAACAAGCCCAACCCATGTCCACCAAACTCCCGGTATCAAATTCGATTGGTTGGCTTCCTGTTCATTTCCCCCGAGCCTTCGCCTCGAGATGGCCGGGAACCCGTTCGGAGCCAGGCACTCGAACCAATACCTGGAGGCGTCCTGTCAGGACCTGGAGCAGGGCGCTGAGGCGAGGATTTGGGGTCGGGCATGACGTGGTGGTTGGTTTCCGGGGGTTGGGAGGCATTTGACAAATTTTTGCTTATTGCGGTTTAGTGGTTGAACTCCGGCTAAAGAATCTATTTGTGTTGCTCCCCTTCCAACGCCAACCAAGCCAGGTGTTCGGGCATGGCTTGGACAGTTTCTGAAATTATCAAATATCCGCATAGGGGAGGATGGGGGAATTTCCATGGATGATTCCATGTTTTCTTTCGGGAAGACGAGATAAATGGAATTGGGGAGCCCTCCCCCCCGCAAACCTCGAGACCAACCAAGAAGCTGATCCATCGAGAAACTCGGCACCGGCGGAAAGGGGCCGCCAGCTGTGGCCGGGCACAGCTGGCCTTTTACTTCCGTTTGCTTAAGAATATGTTTTTTTCCCCCTGTTGGTTCTAAAGGTAATCTATCACTACTGCAAATATTCTTATTTTTTTCCAGGGGTCGAGAAACCAAATCGAAGCTTTGCAGGATATGCGAGGTTCGCTCAAGCTTTCCGGATTCGTCCTATGGCTCATTTGGAGTGCGGGACATGGGCACGAGCTCCACATGTCTCACATGGGAAAGGACCACGGGGCTCATGTCGTTTTGGTTCCTCCGACTTCTGTGTGGGGATATCCCGAAGTTTCCTCAACATATATATATATATAGACATATATACATATATATATAAAGAGTAAAACAAAATCCTGACAAGGTGTTCCTCTCTCGGCACTTTTTACTCTGGCCACTGGTGCCGTTTCTGAGAGGCGCTGACGCGGCGGGGTGCGGAGCTGCAGGCGACCTTGAAGACGGAGGAGGAGTCGGAACCGGCGAACCCACGTGCCGCTTCCATTCTAGGTCCCCCAGCTAGGTGCCCTTTCTCACCCCGTTTTTGGTTGGGAGGGTTCCCCTACTGAAAATAGACAACATAAAAAAGTTGGTACCCTTAGCCTAACCTCTCTACCGGAGGACCCAGCGTTTGCTTAAGGGTATTTTGGGATTTTCCCTATCACTACTACTGCCCTAAGCATCCCTGCTGGGAAGGCTTCTCCTGGCCAATTCTAAAAACAACTACGTTGAAAGAGACTCCGGGGACGTTTAAGCAATATCGGTTTACTATCGAGGGGTAAAGGGAAGCCAACCACACGGAAAGCAATGTGGTTATGGTGTTTAAGGAGGGGTTTCCCCCCATTCACCATCTACAAAAGCCGGGGATTCAACTCCCCAACCACCGATCCAAGCCACCAACAAAGGGGTTAGTAGATGTAACGACCAGCTCAGCCCGTTGATAGCAAGCAGTTTGTTTCCATGGCTCCACCAGCTAGTAATATCTACATGCCCCAGCTTCACCACCAACTAACGGGTTGCCCTCCCACCAATTCACATGGCCATGGGGCATATGAACTCCATGTGGATGTTCACCAGGGCTACCAGGGGGTTTTGACCCACTGCCACTGGGAAATCCAGGCACTTAACTGCTTAAACATATAAATCATCTGTTTTTCTCCCCTTCCAACGTAAACCAAGACCCCCCCACCAATTCACATGGCGACCTCGGATCGGTTTTCGGCCAAAGACCCGGAGGACCTGTGCCAGCGCGACACCCGGACCCTGGCGGATCTTCGGGCCACCTTCGCCCAGGCGTGGCTCGAACCAGCCGTCCGGGTCCTTAGGCGGTTTTTATACATTTTGGGTTGGGTGTTGTCGTTTTTTTGGGGGGGACAAACAAGATTCTAGGCTCTGATTCCTGTTCCATTCCTTTCAACCATTGTTCTCTTCAAAAACTTTTTTTTCTCCAGGGTTTTTGGCGCCTTTCTAGAAAGATCCGGATCCCTGGAAAGAATGCGGAAGCTACCCCTAGCTTCTTTGGCGGGTTTAGTGGGACCCACTAAGCAACCTCCAAAGCTAAAAAAAACGGATGGCTGATTAGTGGTTGTTGTTGTTTCTTGAGCCATAAGTTAACAGCTGTTAGCAGGGGATCGGTTTGGACGGCCCAGGGGTTGTTGTTTTGTATTTTTGTATTTTGGTGGTACGGCTGCGTGAAGTAATTTTAGTCGAGGATGCACATCCCCCTGCAAATTTAGTATTGAACCTCCGGCGGTTTTGCTGGCTTTCATGATGATCACAAGGCACGCTTTGTCCAGGTCCCAAGAGGTGAACCAGTCGTTTCCCGGTCCTTTGCTTCACAGGCTGACCTGTTCAGCTTGCAATTTGGCAAACAATGGTTCTTGTCGATAAGCCAGAAATGCATATGGGATGGATGAAACCTGATGTGAAGTCGCGCCCAGCTGCCGTGATGTGTGAACTTTGTCCATCCACGGAACGTGGTGCAGCACATATTCCCAGTTCATAACGTATCTTGGGATCTACCTGACAGAACCAACTTAGGGGGCGTATATTCCAAAATATGCGTACGCATTACATATATTTATATAATATTCATGTATGTTTGCATGCATTACATTACATCATATTGCATTACCTTGCATTACATTACATTTCATTACATTAAAATACAAACATACATAACGTCATTATATATATACATGATATTCATATATACCAATGTATATATATATACGTATGCAAGCATCAGGCATATGGCATGCAGATGGCTTGCCATGCGTTTGGCGTTTGGCGCTTGGCGCTTTCAGGTGGCCGCCACCCCGGCGCCAGTGGCGGACGCCTTTGCGAGGGAGAGCCTTGCGATGCCCAGTGGCAAAGGCCAGACGCCGCCAGATGCCCAGAGGCAGATCTGTTTTCCCGGTGTGTTTATTTCGTTTGATTGTTTTTTCGGTTTTTCTTTGTTTCTTTCTTTGTTTCTTTCTTTGTTTGTTTGCTTGCTTGGTTGTTTGTTTCGTTTGTTTGCTTGTTTGCTTGTTTTTTGGTTGTCGCGTTGTTTGTTTGTTTGTTTGTTTGTTTTTTTGTTTGTTTGATTGTTTTTTTGGTTGTTGCTTTGTTTGTTTGTTTGTTTCGTTTCATTTGTTTGTTTGTTTGTTTGTTTGTTTCGTTTGTTTGCTTGTTTCGTTTGTTTGCTTGTTTGTTTTTTGTTTGTGTGTTTTTTGTTGTTGCTTTGTTTGATTGTTTGTTTGTTTCGTTTGATCGTGTTTTTTGTTGTCTTTTTCTTTGTGTTTCTTTCTTTGTTTCTTTCTTTGTTTGTTTGCTTGCTTGTTTGTTTGTTTCGTTTGTTTGGTTGTTTTTTGCTTGTTTGTTTGTTTTTTGGTTGTCGCGTTGTTTGTTTGTTTGTTTGTTTGTTTCGTTTGTTTGGTTGTTTTTTGCTTGTTTGTTTGTTTTTTGGTTGCCGCGTTGTTTGTTTGTTTGTTTGTTTGTTTGTTTGTTTGAATTTATTGTTTATGTGTTTGCTTTGTTTGTTTTTTGTTTGTTTGTTTGTTTCGTTTCGTTTCGTTTGTTCGTTTGTTTGTCTGTTTGTTTGTTTGTTTGCTTCTTTCGTTTGAGTATTTTGTTGTTTAATTGTTTGATTGTTTCTTTGTTTTTTTCCTCGTTTGTTTGTTTGTTTGATTGCTTGTTTGTTTTTTGGTCGTTGCTTTGTTTGTTTGTTTGTTTCGTTTGATTCTTTGTTCGTTTGTTTGATTGTTTGTTGGTTGTTTCTTTGTTTGTTTTTTGTTTGTTTGTTTGATTGTTTGTTTGATTGTTTTGTTTTGTGTGTTTGTATGTGTTTGTTTGTTTGTGCTTGGTGGTTTGATTTTATTGTTGTTGTTTGTTTCTGTTCTTTCTTTCTTTCTTTCTTTCTTTCTTTTACTTGTGTGTGTGTTTGTTCGTTTGTTCGAGAGTTAGTTACTTAGTTTGTTTGTTTGTTTGTTTGCTTGATTGTTAGTTTGTGTGTTTGGTAGTTTCGATTTGCTGTTGTTTGTTTCTTTGTTTGTTTGTTTGTGTTTGTTTGGTTGGTTCTCTGTTTGTTTGTTTGTTTCTTTGTTTCGTTTCATTGTTTTTTGTGTGGTTGTTGGCTTGCTGGCTGGGGCTTGCTTGCTTGCTTGCTTGCTTGATTGTTTCTTTGTTTGTTGTTTGGTTTGTGTTTGTTTTTTTGGTTGTTTGTGCGCTCGATCGTTTGTATGTTGTGTGTGTTTGTTTGCTTGCTTGTTTTTTTTTGTTTTTTTTCTTTTTATCCTTCTTGCTTTCTTTCTGTCTTTCTTTCTTCTTTCTTTATTTCTGTTGTTTGTTTGTTCGTTAGCTTGATTGTTTGCTTGCTTGTTTGTTTGTTGTGCTTGTCTGGTTGTTTGCTTTGTGTTTTTGTTTGTTTGCTTGCTTGTGCGGTTGTTTGATTGTTTGTCTGTTTGTTTGTTTGTTTCTTTGTTGGTCTATTGGTTGGTTTGTGTGTTCG